GGGGCTCGAACCGGCAACCTTCCGATTACAATGCAAACTCCCAACTCTTGAGCCACGATCGCCACTGGAAATTTAATTTCAGTCTGCTTAAAAATAAGAATTACTGTCATAAGTGTAGTTGCTAGTCCCAGAGCTCATTACCTCTAAAGAACACTGACACTGACATTTACACTGGAAGTGGATGAAACATTGGTTGCAGTTGTTAAAGAGCTCAACTGAATATCTTGAAACGCTGATGAGCTGAAGTTTTCAGGCAAGTGCTGAACGTGAAATCTGATGAGGGATCAAAAACGTAACAAATGTCCCTCTGCTCTTCGTACTTGAACATCACACCACTCAAAAACATAAAACTGTGAAGGTACATTTACTTCATTTAACAAGCTCGTATCAGATCAGTTATTGTTTAAAAAAATCTGAGTGAATTTGTTCCGATCTGCTTGAACATGGATTGATGTCTTTAAATCCACGTGTTCACTTTGCACACAGGCTAAGGTGTTCGGGGCCGGTTATCCCAGTCTTCCTACCATGACCGTTGATGACTGGTATGAGCAGCACAAGAAACGCGGAGTCCTGCCTGACCAGGGTGTACCCAGGAAGCCCGCCGCGGAGGATCACGGGGATCCAAGCGAGACGGACGAAGAAGAAAAAGAGAAGAAGGTCGAAAACGATGACGAGGAATCTCTGCTAAAAGCCAGAAACTGGGATGACTGGAAAGACACTCACCGCAGAGGTTATGGAAACCGCCAGAATATGGGCTAGCTCGCGTGTTCAACAGGCTGGTCTCTCACTTCATTCTATACTAAATGAAGAAAAACACCATCGCATCAATAAATATGTACATTCATTACTTTGTCTGCAGGTTAGTTGGTCTGGATGAACACTACTGCTCATTAACTCGTGTTACAACCGTTCTGTTGATTGGATCACATCCTCCTGTGTACCGTCGTGGTTTCCATTTACAATAAAAATACACAATTTGTCTGGAACCTTGAAACCATCGTGCTTATCCTGTTATTATGTCATGGGGAGTGCGACTCCTCGTTTCCCCAAGGCTTAGGAAGGACTTATCAAAGAGCTCGGAAAGAGTTCGTGATCTCTGACACTTCACTGTCTCTGGTCTGCCTGTGACCTGTGACCTGTGACCTGGAAGTCTGTCTTCGTGCATCATCTGCTCAGTTCAGCTGTGCACTGGAAGCGTTTTGCTCACACACTGATTTGAAGATGATGGCTGGTCTCTGTTTGATTTTATATATAAAGACAGCAACAACAAACTTGTCCTACAGCATCACGACATATTACACTGGTTCAAATCTGTTAAGCCATGTCCATGCTTACTGCTCCCACAGGAATGACAAATAATAATAATAAACTTTATTTATAGAGCACACTTAAAAACCAAGAGTATGCCAAGGTGCTTAACGAGTAACATGATGACAGAAAAAGGACCAAAGTAAGTACTAAGTATGCGAGCAGGTAGCTGTCACTGATCCATAGGAAAGCAGCAGACACAGAACAAACAAGGAATTAAATGAGCATAAAAGTGCATGATATAAAATCATAACAGAAATGTTAACGAGAGGGAAAGGCAAGACTGAATAAGTGTAATAAGTTTTTAGTCGTGATTTAAACGGTGCTACAGATGCGCGGATATCAAGAGGAAGGTTATTCCACAGTACCGAGGCAGCCAGAGCAAACGCACGGTCACCCCGAGACTTCAGCCGAGATCTGGGTTGGTCAGTAAAATAAAGGTCGCAGCCAGGCGGGGCTGACGACGCACTCACTGACATCCTCCATGTGCGTTTTTTGCGGTTGGTGTTGATACAGCGGTAAGGAGAAAAACAGCAGCAGCGGTCTTAATGAAGCAACTGCTGCTGCCCATGATTCTGGGTTAAAGCCCAACTTCAGCATTCATTAAGTAAACTCACGGTTACTGTAACACAGCACACTTTATTAAAGTGGATGAAACAGGAAAACAGCCCTGCAGGATAGTCGATCAGTGAACGGAACTACAGAAAGTCTGTTTAATCTGCCTTAGACATGTGTTTTATATTTTTTATTATTAAGTTATTCTCTGCCGATAGGTTTAGAAGACACAACTATGTAGAAACACACAACAGACCTGAACCAAAGAAGCAATGTGTACAAGCAGGCAAAGACAAGTTTTGGAAGTATTTGTACAACACATGCATCTGCAAACACTAACAGAGCTGTTATCTGTTATGTGAGTTTCCCCAGATAGTCTTGGTTGACATCAGGTGACTGTGAAAGCCACGGTGTATGATCACGCCGTTTTCATAATCAACTACTCAGTCTATTTGTCACAGGACAAACATGATCTCTCATAGCAACTTTGTGATGATTTTACAACTCTTTTACCTTTGACAAGTGAACCCTAACATGCAGCAAAGTGCAACAATGTCTCTCTGTGTGGGTCAAGAGTTCAGGGCATGCCTTTAATAACTTGCCTGTCTGTAAATGACAGTGTCCTGGCATGAATAATCCTTCACACTTTACCAGTAGAAAAGTAAAACAATTACATTGTCTCATCAGGATAAACCTCAAAGACTCCTCTTATGTCTTTGCACATAATAATCACAGAAGAAAAGAAAGGAATTGATTTTCAATTGCTCTTAATTTCAGGAGACTTTCCAACCTGTTGGTTCAAAAGAGCCAAAAGAAAATCCTCATCGATGTTGGAGTAAAAACTAGATGCTTTTATTGGATTTTACACTGATAATGCTGACTGTCCTGTCATTGTAAACCAGTCAGAATACATAAATAACACATTGTGATCACACTGAAGACCACAGACAGCAGTCCAGGCGTCAGGTGGGATAAAGGAGCTGAAACATCACCTGATAAAGAAAAAACAGACTGAATGAATAAAAGAAGACTTCTTCATTGCACATTTTTCACCAATCACAAGCCTCTTCTTTCACTCTAGACTTTTGACCAATCACCGATCAGGATGAATTGCACTACTGTACTGTGCATCCCTTCCTCTCACAGTTTAAGGTCCATATGCAGTTAGCGGTGTTAGATTAATGTAAATTGCCCATAGGTGTGAATGTGAATGGTTGTCTGTGTCGGGCTGGTGGCCTGTCCAGGGTGTAAACCACGCCCCCTTTGCTTGACGCACGCGTCGGGGCTTCAGTGATATGTAAAATCACTAATCGTTGGTAATGAGCAGATGAAGCCTCATAAAGCCTTGAAGCTTTCCACTCAGTTGCTTCAAACAAAGGCTCATTTCTCGAGCTTCATGTGCGCACAAAGCCCCCTGCTGGTCAAAGTCTTTATTGTCGCTTCAATTGTCTGTGATTGCCTCTTGCAACAGTGTAGACATGGAAATAAAAACACCTTAATTTGATTTTGTGTGGTGAATTCATTCATCTAATGTGTTTTTGATGAACATGTGAATAATGGTAATAAAGCTCTATCAGTGTTAGAATGCATGGCGATAGGATTTCAGTCCATGTTTGATTAAATGTAATAATGAAATGTTAAAACTGTTCCAGTGCTTTCAAAAGACAGTGACTGTGGGTATGAGTACTGGGGTGATGGTAACTTTAGTCATTTTATTAAGAAATAAATATTTTTCTCGCCATGCTTGGACTCAGTTGATTGATGTTTTTAGAAATAACCTTTCTGGCTCTGGAGAAAACCCTTGCACACGGTGCCAGGAGGCAGGGTTAAACAGGTTAGTTACACTACACTTGAGAAGGTTCCTCCACCTAACAAATCCCACTTTAAGCCACGGTGCCACTGCTGCCATCAAAACATTCACAGCATAATCAGTTGTGCAATCTAATAAAACAGCAAGCAGAGCAGGTGCAGGCTCAGCCAGCATTTTCAGATTTTCATCTCTGAGGATTTCTGGATGTGATATATTTAACCAGTTGTTGCGCCAACAGCGCCTTCAGTTTTCATTAGTATTTGACTCCTCCCATAGATATTTATTTGTTTGTATTTTCCTTCTGATATCTGTACCTGAGCTGAGGTAACGCAAAAATTTCCCCGTCGTGGGACCAATAAAGTCTTATTTTATATTGACAGTTGACACTGTCACACACTCCTGACACCTTTAAATTCTGCTGCTTTCTGTTCTTAGTAATATATCTGAATATACTTGAATCAAGATATAGGCCTGTGTTCCTGAACTCACAGTACACACACTACTAACATGTGATTTATAAAATATGATACTGGAAGAGAATATAAAGTATTCAAAATAGGTCAAACTTAAACATAACAAAGTCCAGCAGGAAAGGAAGCTGAGAGATTACTGAAAGAGAAGTAAAGAAAAACACAGTGTAGTGAAGGCAGCATGGTGTTAAATAAGGTGTTTGATCATTGAAATAGTTTTTATTGAACATTGCAACGAGCAAAGCTGCTGAAATAAACAACAGAGAGCATCAGTTCAGGCTTACATTTTTCTTTTACAATATTAATTCATTTAACATTTATTTTTTACTTCTGGTAGTTTATGCACAGTTTTCCAGCACTACAGTTTTATGTGTAATGAAGTGTTTTGTTTTCATGCTGTTGTATAAATTTCTCCACCACATTAAAGACAAACTGATAAGCATGTTTTGATGGACTGCTGTGTTATAGAGGCAGACCTCATGTCAATGTCAATAATAACCAGTGATTATAAAAACTTTGGAGAAAACCATCAATTATTTATTGTTTCTGCACAACACTGACCTAAAGGGGGCAGCAACACACGTTTAATGCGTACGGCCTGCCGAAAAACCCAGAAGAAGAAGAAGAACAAGCTAACATTGGGTTGTGCTAACGCATCTCTGGCTGTGTTTAGTACATTTTCTGTGGAGACAGGATGGCTGAGAAGAAGCTTCACGGAGACTTTAGTAGAAACATACTGGTAGGTTAGAACCACCGTGTCAGGCCTTGATAAAGGGGCCAGGTTGCGACTGCGAACCCGTTGTGTGGCGTACGGTCTTAGCAGCGGCTGTGCTATCTACTAAGCTAGCTTAAACGAAGGCTTCTTTTAACTTTAAAGTATAATTTA